ATGCCATAATTTTTATTTTTTTTATTAATTTAATTGAATGAAAGCAACAATTTTCGGAAATAGCATCAAATTTTAGAATAAGTTTAGATTTGTTCGAATTGGTCAACTTTGGCACGAGTTATGGCCTTCAAGCGGCCAATGAAATCGTCACACGCTGCCCAAATTTTGCTCTGCGGTATTTTGGCCCATAACCGGCGTAGCGCTATTTTTTAGTGCCAACCTAGTTTTCCAAAATTCTCCAAGACACAATAGTCCAACGGTTTGGTATTCGGAGATTTTGGTGGCCATTGTGCTCCAGAAATTAAGCGAGGAACCTCATTTTGTAACCATTCTTGGGTGGCACGTGCTGAGTGCGATGGCGCCGAGTCCTGTTGGAATGTCCAAGGTCTGCGACCAAAATGTTCGCATGCCCCAGGCTTTAATACATCCTCCAAAATATTTTCGCGATAATATTCGGCATTTATTCTGATGTCACGGCCGATTATTACAAGGAGAGCGGCCATCGGCTGTTGTGGCGGCCAACACTATCACCATGGCCGGCGCTTGAGTTCTGGTGGCCAACCGAAGGGTCACATTTCCGCTGACCTCTTTGGCAAGTAAACACCATAATTTTGTTTATTTAAAAACTGCCGGACAACGAATGTTTTCTCATTGGAAAAAACCAAATTCGGCAGGTTACAACTTTTGGCCAAGCCTAGCAACTCTTTTGAGTCTATTTTCTTTCCATTGCGGTGTAAGTTCTTGCACTTTTTGGAATTTCAATGGCTTTAGCCCGAGCTCATTTTTCAATATTTGCCGAATCGAATGTTGCGATATGTTCAGCTAACGAGCCATTTTTCGGCCACTGCGACGCGGGTTTCAATCAAATTGCTTCTTTATTTTTCGAAACATTTTTGCTGATGTTTCTGTTTTCTTCCGTCGACTTCCTTGACATCGGGCTACACTACCAGTAGTATTACGATAACCAGCAAAGGTACGAGACACAAAAGATTTTTTCACATTTAAATGCTGGAGTGCTCTAACAATAGCCACTTGTGGTTTTCCAGGCAAATATAAAGAAATCCCACTATCACGCTTGAATTCCATCACGAATAACTTTTTCTCTGCAAAATTCTAACCAAAATGCTTTTGTGCGCTTGTAAACAATGTAATGGGCTGTCACTGGAATAATTTTAACAGCTGTCGGACGAGTGGCTTAGAAATGACAGCAGTCTGAAAATGGTTGCAGTTTTTTTTCATCTCACCCTGTATATAGACAAGTCTTTTCCACTTTTTCTTTTTTGAAAATTTAACGATACTTTTGGGATTATGTTCTTAATTATGGTATCAACAGTCTTCGATAAGCCTTCGGTATTTCATTACTGGCCTTGCTGGGTTTGGGTATCCCTCTCCAGAAGTGGTTTTAATAGTTAACAAATGGCAAGAAACTTTGATTTTCAAGTTTTTCTTTTTATGATGCCTTTAAAACAATGTTGTGATCTTTGATATTATCAAATATACCCCCACTCTCAAATTTCTCTGTAGACAGCAACACTAACGCCACCATTAAACTCTGAACAAGACTGCCAAAGGATTTGCAAGCAGAAATAACCGTTAAAACAACTTCCAACTTAAAATACAAACAAAAAATAACCAACAAAAACCAATCTACGACCGACCGGTTGCACTTGCAACTCGTCTTAAGACATTTCTCAAAATAACATGGCTTCTAAATAATTTAATGGCAATAATTGTGTCCATGTGTGTGTGTGTAGAGCTATTCTAACGAATCATGATGATGATGACGACGATGATGTTAATGGCAAACATACAATTAATCGATCCATACAAAGTCCACGATAATTTATTCCATTGTGGAAAGGGTATCAAAAGAATATTTTGGCCATCGAAATTAGCTGTTACAAATGTTTTCCAACTTTTTTTTTGGACATAACTCAAAATGAATGGTAGTCAAACAAATAAAAAATATTAACATATCAATAGATTGACAGCAAGCTATTGCTACTAGATGATGTGTTGTCGGGTTTGACAGTTTGGTTTCACTGAAACCTTTCACTGCTCTGTTTTCGTTGGTTAGCATGTTGTTGTATTTTGTGCAAATATTCAATACCAAACACCGAAACAATGTATTTATTATTCATCCAAACAATGTTAGATATGTCGATATAGCGATCTATGATGATAATGAGAGGATTTTCAAGTTAGTTTAGTAAAATACATAGATAAAATACAGTTTGTCAAGTAAATGTTTGTGATGGCAAAATAATGTAACCAAAATTGTAATCCTTTTTTTAAATTTTGTTTTTTTTTTTTAAGAGAATGTCAATTATTAGTTAAATTTGGGATAGAAGGTGACAAGGCATTTTGGATTTGGAAACGAAGATCTTTCTCCGCCTACCGTAACATACCGCAGTACTCCTGGCACAGATCGGGTTCGGTACTAACACAAGTTCAACTGCCATAAATATCCTAACGGACAGGCCTTTAGGGACTATATTCACCCCATAAATATATAGATTAGGTGTGAGGCGATCACTGCAGACAAATGGCTGAAAGCGATGGTAGTGTGGATCAACAAAAAGTCACACAACATATCATTAAAAGACTATACGAATCACTAGAAGATATTCAATAGAGGAGGCCATTTCTGACAGAATGCCAGAAAATAATTTAGTTACATTGTGCGAAATTCTTTTCCCACACAGAGATTTGCACAACAACGGAAACATAACTTGTATGACTCGAAGTAAGGAAATATAACAGTTCTGATTTCTTTATTGAGGACATAGAGACTGATATCTCTCTCCGCATAACGGACCATATCACAGTTCTCCTAACAGAGGTCGATGCAATCACATAGGCTTTGAACTGGTTTAGTAGTAAAACTAGACCAACTACCTACAATAACTAAATGGGCAGTTCAGCACGCATTCTAATCACACAGGGATTAGATGATATAAATCCTGGAAGTACAGAGTCTTTAGAAACGGTATAACTAGAGCCTAAGCGTTATGTGAAGAAGGCCCACATATTCTTATGAATGGAAATGACATTGACAGCGTTTACGATACCGGGAGGACACGCTCTTCCAAAATCCAAACGAATACGATATTATTAGAAACTCCACTCCACTTCAACAATGACATACAAAGCTTTCCATACTTAACGGAACGTTGGAGACTCCACTTTACTTACAAGAGAACATACTCCACAAATTTAAGAGCTAGGGAACATTAGATACCCCTCTATAACGACGCATAACGACGTTGAATATCCCTCTTTACTTACAAGAGAACACACACAATTTTCACAAATTTAACAGCTGGGTGAACGTTAGATTCCGCTATCAACTCTAGCTACGTAATAATATACTCTTAGAGGTAAAGCGAACGTTATAAACCCCTCTAAACAATTGTTGTGGTTATGGGGTCGAATCATAACTTCAAGGAAAAACTATCTACTGCAGCCTTGCTCAGAATACGTGCATTAGTAGTTGTGAAAGACTCTCTCGCCCTGCCAAATTAAAATCGAGAGAGAATAAGTGTGCTTTGTTTATCGTAGTTTGTTTGTCCGTTGAATTATTCAAAATTAAATATCTTGGAAAACAGTTCTAAGTCCAGTCCCAGATCCAGGACACGTCAGCGGTGGGGACAATATAAGAGGGTCAGTTAAAAACACAGAGTTCCTAATGTAAGCTCATTTCTTTTAAAGCGCGAATTAATGATATCCCTCTTTCACACAGCAGAGCACACAACAGGCCGAACGTATAATTCTGGACACTGAATATTTTCCAGAGACATGTACAATTTAATACCTAGTGGTGAGACGTATTGGTATTTTCCCACGTGAAATTAGATTCCTTATTAACGATTTCCTGATAAAGCAAGTTTGAATGCATGAAAGCCCTGTTGGCGTAGTTTTTAATTAAAGGAATAGCATATACTGGGATTGGGGTAACCTTCAATGCTTCGTGTATATACCGTTTTGAGAAACGCTTATTATTCTACTGAAAATATTTTTTTTCTTTCAAATATCCCAAACTTTTTTATTACCGTTGGAGAGGTTGGGAACCATATAGGTAGTGCGTACAGTAGTAGTATCCTCGCGCATTTGCGTTAATTTAAAAATAATTGTTGTACCAAACACCCAAATATTTAATTTTATCTCTAAATGGTATTTCTGCTCCATTCAGAGACAACTCCAAGGACTTGCTTTCTGCTACAACCTATCTCTTACATTTCCCTGAAGCGTTCCTCAAACATATAGCATCGCTCTTAGAAGTATTGATTTTTATACCCCAATCAGTATAGAAAACATTAACTGTGTTTAAATGATAAGATACCATAGACAACGCCGCAGCAGGAGATTCAGGGTGCGCATACAAAAGACAGTCGTCTGCGTACAATACACCCAAAGAATTTGGCATAGTATGAGGGAAGTCATACATATAAATATTAAATATATGGGGAGATAAAATTGACCCCTGAGGAACACCACATGACACATTCTCAAAACATGATTTTAAATTACCCAATTGCATATAAAATTTTTTATTCCTGAAAACAAAACTTTGAAATAATTTCACCACTTTAGCTGCAAATCCTAATTCTGTCATTTTTAATAATATTCCATTATGATATGTTCTATCAAACACTTTTTTAACATCCAAAAAAACTGCGGCAGTACATTTCCTTTCACGTAAATTAGAACTTATATCGCTGTTAAATTTAGTCAACGCATCTACAGCCCAATAACCTCGTACTTCTGCATTGGAAAACATCGTATCTCAAAATCAAAATATGATCATTTGAGGGATACGCTTGGAATGTTAAAATTGTTTAGTTCCTCAGCGTCGCCACGACAAGTACCAACAAAATCACTTTCAAAACATTTACTTGACAAACTGTATATGTGGGCATGTGAATAGGCTATGGTGGGGAGTGAGGGGAGGAGATAGCATTAGTTGTAAATCAGCCATAAACATCAAAAGCCAAACTTACCTCTGCTGGCGATGACGTCGCTGTTGCATGTGAAGATGTCAATGAAAACTATCCAAATACAATTGGCTATATCTGCTCTGTTCTGCTACGTCCGTCACAGACGACAAGAAGAAAGAAATTGCTTGCAGGTGTTTGAGTGTTCGTGTATGTGTGGGTCAATGTTATTTGATGAGAATTCTTGATTTTTTCTGGATTCACTTTGACGCGGTGTCTTGTTTTCGACGACTCCAACTTGTATTGATTCATTCACGCAATCATCCACACACAAAAAAAACTGTTTGATTAATTATTACTACTTTTATCCACTGCTTTGCTTCTTTTTTATTTGTTTTTGTTATCGATTTCGTTTTGCAATCTGGTTTTGGTTTTCAATGCAGTCGGGCCAGCTAGCCAGTCAGCAATGAAGTAAAAAAGAAAGAAATTTCTTTTGCGCTTCACTCTCTGCGGGCAAATGTATTGGTGTTTCACTTTTTCTTATTGACGACTTACGACTTGAACGCTTATTAGAGAAGTCGTCCCAGCCACACCACAATCAAAACTTGATTTTCTGCAAATTTTCATTGAAAATAGAAACAAAAAACAGTTAACATTGAAAAAATACCACTTTTACACAAAAAAATTTTTGTTTCGAACAATTATTATGAAAGACACCGCCGTTTGGCCTTAGAAATTTTCGCTCAGACATGGAACTTTCTTTAATAAATTTCTTATCAGCATCTCTTTATAACAACGAAGAAACAAAAATACCAGTTGTATTTTATTTCTTTTATCAATTGTTATCTGTTATCTTCTTATCTATTCCCTTTATAAATGGCCCAGCACTCAAAGCGTAGACACGCCAGACTACTAGACATGTGTGCTCTTTTCGTTAATAATTTACTTTAGAAATTAAAACAATTGCATTAAACAATTCCTTCCTTTTTTTCAATTACTTTCAATTTTTCATTTATAGATTTTCCGGCGTAACTCGTCGTCGTTGTAGCTTTCTTAACTGCTATTCACGCGTACTCTCTCTCGAACATCCACTTTGAAACTAAACTGAATGAATGAGAAAATGATGACGATGTGTTTGTGGGTCGTCGTCCACTGTTTATCTTGTAAGTCGCTCTCTCTCTCCCTCTCTCAAAATTTGGAGTTTGCCATGAGAGAGGAGAGAATGTGATATGAAATGAGTAAATATATAAATGTATTTAGTAAGGTAGACGAATGAACGTAGTTGTTGAAGTATTGTATCCCAGCTAGCGTTTGGAAGATTGTTTTGAAATCACTTTGGTGAGTCTTCTTCGAGTCCTTTTGGTGATCAAAATATGAGTAAAAACAGATCCATTTAATATACAACAACAAAATGTAGGGAAATCGAAAATCAATCATTGAGAAATATGACTATTTTTGCGTTATTTATTATAGTATCTAGAGACTGAAAAATGATTCGTCTTAAAAAGGAAAAAATAAAGAGGCAGAAAATTTAATTTTGGAAAAAAAATAAATTAGACTGAAGACGAGAATAATGAAGATAATATTCCGGAACGTGTAAAGAATTTTGAAAAAAGTGAATGATTTGGTGCAGCAAAATAAGACATAAAAGTCGTGATACGCTATAAATAGAGCATTATAAATATATAGATGCCGTCAGGTTCTGCTCCCTCAAGTCAAGTAATTGTCTTAAAATGCAAGCAATCCTTTCAAATTAATTTTTCCAAAAAATTATAATTTTTTGCCAGATTCAAGGCAAGGTCCTTTTTTGAAATTAATGAAGCATAGAAGAATTTACTAAAAAACTATGGCCTTCTGGCCATACAACATCTGTTCAAAACGTAACTGCGAGTGCAGGTACAGTAATAATGGTGGAGGTATAGCGTAATAGGACTATGATAGTGTCTTGAAGAAAATATAACCATTGAAAAATATTTTTCAAGAAATGTTCATATTTTTTTTGTTTCGCAATGCCGATGGGAAGTTCTAATTCTAAAATAATAAAATAAAATCAGAATAATTGTAAATGGTGGTTTATGTTGTGGAGCAGAATTTATTTTTTAGGGGGAAAGGAAATCCGAACAGCCATTCATGGTCCATGTTGAAGGCTGTTACCCTGTTACACTTTTACTCAACGTGAATAAATGGATACTGGCCGGTTTTTCATCTTGCCACTCACAACAATATTAATTCTGGTTTTCTCATTCTCTTCACTCACAAGATATTTTAGATATCAAAAATTTGAGAGAGCATGCATGTGTAAAAGTGAAAAAAGAAATGTCAGCAGTTATTCCTCATTTGTGTCAAAACAGAAGTTGAAATAGGGTTACCCTAACGTTTGCTTTCGTTGATAATAAATTAAATTAATTTGGAAGCTTTTTTTAATATTTTTATTGAAGTATTTTATAAATATTTCTAAAAGAAATATGCGTTGTAACAATCTGAGATACCGATATTTCTTTCTTTCGGAGTTTTTGAACTGCTATAAGCGAAACCAGTAAATAGTAAAAAAATGCTGCAATTCAAAAGAAAACTAGAGAAAATTTTAGTAAGTCTACAGATATTTTATCTATATATAATCGAAAAAGCATTCGACGAAAGGGTTGGAGTTGGCAACCGCTTTACTCAAGTTGAAGTATTTGGGAAGAACAAGAAACAAGTCGTGAAGGCTTGAAAGAACTACTGTCAACCACTCAACAATCCAAGTTGAAACAGAATAAAAAGTCCTACACATGTCGAAACGGAAAAGGACAGAAGTCAGGGATGAGCTGTATGCCAAAGAGATGAAGACGAAAAATGATGATAGTCTACGATGCTGGAGTAATAAGATGCTCAAGGAAGCACAAATTGTCAGGGAGATGAAGATGCCCAGTGGAAGTGGTACAGCTAGAAAATGGTAGTCTAGAGTGGCAGGATGTTATGAGCATTTGCAAAGCTGGAACGATAAGTTGTCCAAGATCTGTACGATGGCGCTGCCAGAGAGATACCACACCCATAGACAAATTAAGATATAGACAACGAAAAGTTAGTTTGGTCTTTTTTTCCAGGTGGCTCTCATCATGTTTTGCATAGTCAACATGCTCATTTACGCGTTCAAGCCACTCGACTTCGAAAACACTTTTTATCGTTTTTTCAAGAATTTCACTGGAATATTCCCATTTTTTTCGATGTCATCGCGTACTTTTCACATTTCTTTTTTTATGAAATAATTTTCAACTGACAAATATTCTACAGTTTTTGTTATTTTTAACGTTTTAGAATTGAGTGACTTAAATATTCCCACTCAAACCCCTGAAACGATATAGACGACATCTGCTGATTCGATTTTTTTCGAAGATAAACGGTGAGAGCATTTCGTTGTCTATATTTTCATTTGTCTATGCCACACCATTGGCTGCAAAAAGAAGACAAATTGAGAGAATTCAGCCTGAAAATTGAAGCAGCAGACAAAGGAGGTTTGACCTTTAAAAGATATCGGACGGAGAGATGAAGGAGATTCCTGTGTGGAGATTCTTGCATACAATAAATATTTTATATTTCTTAATAAATAAATTGTTATATTTTGTATACATCTAAAATGCAGTTTTGCTCTTGCCGAGAATTTTCACGGACAAGTTAACACGTTTTTATAATAATAGGGAATAGAGGCTAGGAAAGTGTTGGAAAGAGGCATTTTTGTTACTCAGGTATATTTTTACTACCGTCCACATTAAATAAGTTAAGACAAGTAAAACCAGTAAAGAAAGTCTTAAAGTCGGGCGGGGCCGACTTTATGATAAGTCGGGCGGGGCTAATGCTAATTTAGTAGAGCTCCGCATAACTATTTAAAGTTTTTATGGGAAAATTCAATCATACACGCTATGATTATAATTATAATTTAAAGTGCAATGGACTAAATATGCCGAAGCATTTGAATCTTTTAAATTCGGACTTGTATTGCCCATTTGGTGCACAATTAATTTGAAATCGGATAAATATATATATGGGAGCTATATCCAAATCGGAACCGATCTTGATAAAATTTGGCAAAGATATTTCTGAGCTGTATTTCATATATTTCCCTGAATATTGTTGTTACGAAGTGCATATTACAGCTGTGGGTAACAAATATAACAAATCGGATAAACAGTATATATGGGAGCTATAGCCATATCTGAAACGATCTTCAACAAAATTGGCATACTAGTTTCTAGACTCAATTCGGTCGTAAAGGGCCATTCCATCCCATTTGGGACAATATTAGACGTTTGGTGCACAATAAAAGGTAAATCGGATGAAGTTATATATGGGACCTATAGCTAAATCTGAACCGATCTCGAAAAAATTTAGCAAAGGTATTTCTGAGCTGTATTTGATATATTTCCCCAAATATTGTTGTTACAGAGTGCATATTACGGCTGCGGAGGACAAAAATAAAAAATCGGATGAACAATATATATGGGAGCTATAGCCATTTCTGAACCGATTTCGATCAAATTTGGCTTACTTATTTTCAGGCCTAATTTGGTTGTATATGCAAAATTCCATACTATTCGGGCTGATATTACACGTTTGGTGCACAATAAAAAATCGGACGAAGATATATATGGGAGCTATATCTAAATTATGACCGATTATCTCCAATTTCAATAGGATTCGTTCATGGGCCAAACAAATGATTTGTGCAAAATTTCATCTGGATAGAGCAATAAATGCCAACTGTACTTTGTTTACAAAAATACATGGACAGACGGACGGACGGACATGCATAAATAGACTCAGAATGTGATTCTATGCAGATCATCAAAAGGAACTATGGGTCTATCTCGTTTCCTTTTGCCTGTTACAAACAAATGCACAAAGACATAATACCCTGACCACCTTGTGGTGTAGGGTATAAAAATCATTAAGTTCGGTCAGGCCGAAATTTTAGTAAGCTCCACCATTGGGTAAAGCAACTTTTTAATATAAAAGCATCTGAATTCAAATGTGTTCCACTTTAAACTACAAATACCAGTTCGACCGTCTGGATAATGCTGTTAAACTTTTCAAAGTCCTAATGTGGGTGAATCCTTTCTTTGGGAGCCATACCAAAACGGAAACCTCTATAGACAATTTTATACTTCAAGGATTGTTATCTACCAAATCTTCTAAAATACCAAATTTGAATCAATTTTATGGGTAAATGTGACTAGGATTATCAAAATACCGAATATCGGTGGGTATCGTTATATGTGCGCTATAGGAAAACGTGGACCTAAATATTCAATGTTCTGCCACCCGGAGTTAGAACACATTATGAACTACAAATACCATTTTTTGGATAAATCCGTGGGAAAATGTGGCAAAAATCATCAAAATACTGAATATCCGGAGGTGCCATTTTGTGGGGGACATATACTATGTTCCGCCACCGGAGCTAGAACCCATAGGATAAATCCGTGGTAAAATATGGTAAAAATCATCAAAACACCGACTATCGAGAGGTACCGTTATATGGAGGCTATACCAAAATGTGGACCTATATATACTATGTTCCGGCACAGGAGCTTGAACCCATTACGAACTACAAATACCTATTTTTGGACAAATCCGTTGAAAAATCCGCCAAAAATCATCAAAATACCAAATATCGAGAGGTATATGAAGGCTATACATAAAACGTGGACTAATACATACAATGATCCGCCACCGGAGCTAGAAACCATTATGACAAATACCGATTTTTAGGCAAATCCGTGGAAAAATTCATCAAAATACGGAATATTGGGTGGTACCGTTATATGGCGGCTATACCAAAACGTGGAGCGATATATCTCATTTTTAATACCAACCACCCAAACACAATAAAAATTGTTCTGCCAAATTTTGAAGGTCTATTTTTATAATAAATAAATTAGAGCTTTACAACCACTAAATAGAAATACGATCTTTGAAAACACAATGATTATTAAATTATAAGAACACCGCATACCTAATTTTTTCTTTATGGCCTATAGAGGTCACTAAAAATCCATTACATCACCACTTTGGAAAATAAATAAATTTCAAAGATTCTATTTTCGTTTGATTTTTATTAAAATATATAAGAGTTTATAATTAAATACCATATAAACTTATGGATATTTGTTTTTGTTTTCATCTAATTTCATATTATTAATAATAATTTTTCATATATATATTTTCTTTTTTCTTTTACTATAATAAATTGAAAAGTGAACAGAATTTTTAATAGAGCATTTGTCGTAGTATTTTGTTATTTACGTTGTATAATTAAGCCGGTACAAAATGTCATTATCATTAAACGATAGCATAACAATTCAAAATTATGATTTTTTGCGTTAATTTAATTTTCTTTGTTATTTATTTTGTTTTTGTGTAAAATATATTATTATGCAAATGGTACAGTGGCATTTTTATTTTGTTTGTTTGTTGATGACGATTATATTTAAGCTAAGAAACAAAACAAAATATATTTCATATAATTTTTGTTCATTTAGTTTATGGTAGGTAGTAACTTTAGAAGTTGTCTTTAATGCAAATTAAATTACAAAAACAAAAAGAAATATAAAACTTTTCTATATGAGAGTTGTCGTTTGTTATGGATTACATAATTAAATTTAAAAAAAAATTAAACACAGCATTAGAAACATTCGTTTGAACAGAGAGTAAATATGGCAAATAAAAAACTATATTTTTTTAAGGAAAGAAGGAAAATAACTATTTTTCAAATTTTGTTATCTTATGATAATACAATAAAGTTGTTCGAAGAAAATATATTTTTACAACACACATTTCAAGTAGAAGGGGAAGTAGATGCAAACAAATAACAATAAAAAAGGCACACAAACAAATCGAAAAAAAATCAAAGAATAGTAATTTCCACAAGAATGTGTTCTGATGTAACTAAAGAAAAATTACAAGTTTTTTTTTTGGTTTTGTGGAAGAAAGCAAAACATTTTTGAAGTTGTTCAAAAACCACGCAGGTTGCTCCTTTCGTACAGCAATTAAAAATGCAAGTGTGCGAAATTAAACCATTTTCCCTGTTCTACTATTCACCAAATCTTCATCATCGTCAATATTCTCATCATCGGAATCCCCATCACCGTTCATAATGTATTCCTGGCGTTCATCGACGGTGGGTAACTTTTGAGATTTCATACGCAATTCAAAGACCTCACTTATGGCATCGCGGAAACACATAAAATTATAATCGATGACACCCTGACGTATGAAATTCTCCTCTCGCAATATACACACCAGGGCCAGGAATTTATTGACTTCGCGCAGATAGAGTATGGTGTTATTATTCAATTTGATGAGACTAGAACTTTGATTATCGAAAGCTTCCTCTTCGGAGCTGGAAAAGAAAAGATAGATTTACTTATATTAGTCTGAGCATATACCTTCAACAAAAATCTATAAAAAAATCATGCTAAAAAAGTAAAGGAGGTTTGCAACTGGATAGACGATTGAAAATCGTGCCATTTACTGGAACTTTTAGTAAAAATAAAAAAAATCAAGACCAGATTTTATAAAGCAAACCATAGATATTAACCAAGCAGATATTAACCAGCTGTTGGTAGGAAATAACCTCCAGTTACTAGTGGATTTTAATGTCCACCATGAGTTGTGGCATTTCGTAATTACAAAATTGTAATCTTAAAGCCTAGTGTCACCCGGTCTGATCAGTCATTCACTTCTCTTAGATCAGACCATCTCCCGATAATTGTCTCCATCAACAAATCTCCTGATTTCGTAACCTTCGAACGCCGCATTTTCCATAACAATGAAAAAAAAATTTCAGAGAGTTCGCCAAGCTTCGTTTCAGACAATTGTACAAAAAGCTACAGCCGCTCGGTACATACCTGCTGGTCGTATACCCAAAATAAGACCAAATTTCCTAGCAAATGTGCGAGATCTTCTCATTCGTTTCAACCGCATTGATCCCTCGATCAGTGAATTCACAGTGGAAGTCAACCTTTTGGTACAGGATCATAAGAGGCAATAGTGGCTAGACCATCTGAAGTGTTGCAACATTGGAATCGATATGTATAAACTGTGTATAACGGTTAAATCGCTCTCGAACCCTGGGAAAATAGATGATAGTACCTCAGCCACTTTTAACGAGATAACGGTGACTAATCCGAAGAGCTGCCCTGGATATTTTAAAGCGATAGGGCAAAGCGAGGAGTACTACGTCAGATCTCCAACCGCCGAGGAGGTACCATCACAATGGTGGATGGTGTCTTTGCAAACATCATCCGAAGCGCTAAGTCATCCAAATCGTTGGGCCCAAACGGAATCTCCATGGTAATGTTGAAGCAATTGAATACGGTGGGAGTTGGGTGTCTGATAAAAGTTCTCAGCCTATCGGTAGGCCACACCCGAAGCCTGGAAATGGGCAGTGTGTTCCCGCTACTGATATAAAATGATTTTCAAATTCTACTTTCCAACATAAAGTAATCGATTGCGAACGGTTGTCTTTCTGATTAGTACCACAAGCAAATTTCGACTTGGTCTTTTAGAATTCGAATACCAAAAGATTAATCGAAAATTGAGTTTAAAGTTTAGAATAGTCATGTGTAGAAGTTTTTGAAACCATCTATTGCATCATGGGCTAGGTAACTGTTTATATTGAAAACAAAACAAAAAAATTAAAAAGTATTTCGATCAGAAGAGGAAAGATTTTTATAAAGGCCGTAAAAATGCTCTGAGAGCATAAATCCCTTTTGTGGTGTTGCTTTACCCATGGTGAAAGTATGCTTTCACCTCCATTTTTACCATCACCCAGATTGACTGTTATACTGTGTTGTTATGCTATGTATTGATTCGTTTCAAGCTAAGGAATGAATCGTATAACAGGTTGTACCCGTAAACCACAACTGTTATAAATCAATATACTAAAATGGTGAATTTGCCATTGATTGTTATAAACAACGACCTATACAAAAGTTTGCTGCTATGAAATTGTTGCTTGCAATAGGTAACTGTCTCTGCTAAGCACAACATCGAGGTGGTTGGCAACTCGTTCGTTATAAGAAACTAAGTAACAATAATTAATAATTTGATATATAAATTTACAAAAACTAAACATATTTTTAAATTGCTAGCAACTCACCTATATATACTCGATAAATCGATAACAACATCAATCATATCACAACATAATTCATAACTTTGCATATCGACCGGTGAACAATCGGTAGCTATGTATATTTTTGACACCACATCGAATAGAAATGCCTTTTCTATGCCGGAATTCTAAAGGAATGATTCAAATTATATAAATATTCATATGATTTCTGATTTTAACGAATTACCGATATAAAAATGTTGAGCAAATTTTCCAATGTCGGCAATTGGGGTATTAGTTTTTGTACCACCTTCGAAAAGGCCTCAAATATCGAATGATCATAGATGGAAGTCAAGTGAAAGCTTAAATGGATTTGTGTCAGTCCAGCATCGGCTAAATCGTCGGAGGCTCGTTGATGTATGTCACGTTGGGACTCCATTTTTGTGTCATCGCTGATACCATCAACCTGGAATGGGGAAAAGGTTTAGAGACAGTCTTTATTTCAAAAAAGGAGCAATTAGACTTAACAAAACATAAATATTTAGACAATTATTGAAATATGTACAGTCCCTTTTCAATTGTCTTAAGTATAGGTAAACATTGATTAACCAATGTACCACTCTAGTTTCAACAAGTTTGTTTTTGTTTTATCCCTCCTCATCGTATAGATAATGAAATTCATATATCAACGTTGTATGTGAACATTGAACTCCTATCATTACAAATGTAAGGCACCCCGACCCTGCCCGAATGTATCATAATATTGGAAAACATATTTATGAAGCCAAACAAGTGCTGATTTGCATTGTTATCAACAGTAAATGTGTGTTGTTTTTTCATATTGGCCAGACAGTAACTAGAAACTGCAGCGTGAATGGCGGTTTAATCAAAATATACGTCATTTATATTTATATGTAGATTTATTTGTAGGTATTTAAATTAAGTATCATTTCAGACTTGAATAATTTGCTGCCATAAATTTCGTGGAATGTGGTTGATATACAACATAGATATAACACTATATTTTGAGATCATATTAGTTGGGAAGTATGTGTGTAATTTAAAAAAAAATATTTTAAAACAGATGATCTCCGCTAAGGAATTTATTAAAGATAATTTCAGATAGCAGAGACCACACAAACCAAGAAAATGCATTAAATTCCATGGACTTCTATGCGAAAGATATCTATCTGTAAAAAATCTAATGAAGGGTTTCCATCTATCGAAAACCAGAGTCTATAAAGAGAACATCTTTCATCTTCAGACGGCACGATGAAAGTATAGTCTCAATAGATGATTTTTGTAGAATATCTTAACAATATGTGTGAAAAGGATTCATTTTAGACACGTACAACCTGCCCTCTCTACAGAAGTTTGTTCTTGTACTCTTTGTAATTATCCTAATATTAACTATAAGTATAATTGTATAAAAAAATAAATAATAAATTAACAATTTCTAACTACAAAAAACATATTAAAAGTTAAATATGTTCAGATGAATTGAGGAGTACCTTCAAACTGCAGAAGTCCTATAAAAAGACTTTCAAACGTCGTCTTTCAATAGCAGAACTATAATTAGTCTTCTATCTATGGAAGAGTTGGTATTCTATAGAAGATCTGTCAAAGGTTTTCTATCTATAAAAGGAGAATGAATAGCTGCAAAAGTTTCTATCTTTATTAAAGATCTCTGTAAAGTCTTCTATACAAATATGCTGTGAAATGTCTTCTACCTTTAGGAGAGCTGTGAAAGGGTTCCATGCATGGAAGTCCTGTGGAAGGTCTTTTATCTTCAAAGGTCCTTTATCTATTTATCAATGGCTTTTTCAATAGAAATCCTATCCAAGACCGTCCATACAAAGAATGTTCGTGAAAGGCATATAATTTATTTTCTGGAATTAATTAATTAATTGACCATCTAACAGAAGTATCTCCTACTGATATGACTATCTCCAAGTCTTTTATAGATATGATATCTTATTTTATGGCTTAAGCCCCTTTTGAGCGTTTCCTCATACAGAATTTTGCCGATAACATTCCTCTCACGTGACGTTTAAAGATATCCCCAGCATTAAAAGGTTTGGATACCCGTTTGTCAAATTAAAAACTAAAAAATATGTAATTATATATGCACTTATATACATCTTAATCTGTCACTCACCTTATGTATGAACACCTCAAATTTAATACGCGGATTAACTTTATACGCTTTAATGACAGTATTCTTAAATTTCGTCAACGCCTCGTTGTAATCATCCTTGGCATCGATGACAAACACTAGCGAACCACAATTACCAAATATCATATCCGAATCGAACGTGGGATCGATGAAATCAATTTGTCCCGGAAAATCCCAAATGGAAAATTGTACAAAACTTGAGTTGTTTATGTCGTCTTTGACAATCTTACTTGTCGACTCCAAGAACAGTGTTTCGTTGGGTGACATTTTATGGAAGACAACTTTTTGTATAGAACTTTTGCCGGAACGTCGTAAACCCATTAGGAGAATACGTGGCTTCGAGTCCGCATCGGAGCCAGCCATACCCGTTGAATCGAGACCATCTTGATCGAAAGCGCCATAACCATACTCTTTGGGAAACGTATCCACATGATAGTCATCGTCTTCGTAACTCTACACAAAGGAAACCAAACAAAAGAAAGATGTTAATTAATGCGTAGAACCATCATAACTTCTTCTCATGGGCCATGGGTTTTTGTGGGTGTTATCATTTGTCGTTTTCTTTTTCTGGTCTTCCTTCTTACCATCTTAATCGGAGCTTGTGCGATGTTAAACTTAATTTACACTGCAGGCATTTAAGTTATTTTTAATGTCTCAGTGGTGTTTGGCTTTGTTATTGATTATTATTTTGTTAATTATTTGTTGTTTTCAATGAAGTTGAATTTTTTTGTGTGACACACTACAACACTGTATGACCAGATTACAAAGCTCTTGTCGCAACAGTGACGCCGTAGAAAGAAAAAACAAAGAACAAAGCAGAATAAACGTTAAAGATCGAAATAAAAACAAAACCACCGACCTAAATTTAAGGGTTATTTAGATCGACAATGGTTATAGGGTTTAGGAAATGCAGTTTTGCGAGAAAACAGCTGCCTTGTTATCTTTTGGAGTAGTCAAACCGGCAAAGCCATCATGGAATGGTTGAAGAATATTCTTCTACCATGCATGATGGGAAAGACAATTTTGATGATTTGACAATTTGATATGATAGTTATAAAGGGAAATCATGGTAGAATTAGAAGGCCATGCTTCCATGTAGTTGGATTCTTTAACTAATTTTTTGAGTAACCGACTTCAGAATTTGGCGGAACAATTTGTATTGTGTATTTTGTATAGCTCCCATAAAACGGTATCTCCCGATATTTAGTGTTTTGATGATTTTTGCCACATTTTTCCACGGATTTGTCTAAAATTAGTATATGTAGGTCATAATGGGTTCTAGCTCTAGCGATAAAACATTGAACATTGAACACATTTACCAACGAAATTGTTTCAAATTTTGTATTTAAGAAATGTGGTACATGACAATCCTTAAAGTAGAAAATTGTCTATGGGAGTTCCCATTTTGGTATGGCCCCCATATAACTGAAAAGTTTAACAGCATTATCCAAACGGTCTTACTGGTATTTGTAGTTTAAAGTGGAACACGCATGAATTGAGATACTTTTATTTAAAACTGTTTTCTTTACCCAAGGATGGAATTAAAGTTTGGCTTGGCCGAACTTAATGTTTTTTTACTTGTTTCCATGTAAAAATGTAAATTCATAAATCCATTATATAGCACAAATTAGAGATGAAACTTGTTTTCGATGCAGTTGAATTTGAAACGGCAAATTACAAAAAAAAAAAAAAAATCAGGGCTGGATATTCAAATTTAGAATGAAATTCCCTTTTTTTAATTCTATCATTCATTAGTTCTACCTAATTGTAAATGATTCAATATCTAATAGGATGAAACAAATATACATAAAAGAGTTATTCCAATTTCTGAACCGTTCTCACCAAATTTGAGGGCCTTTCTTTTAGTACAGAATTGACTCTATGAGCTAAAATCCATTCTAAATAACCACCGATTGACTTCGTATAAGAAAACATATAAAAATCTACTCATTTTTGACAAAAAAAATTAAATATTTTATCATATCAATGTTTCCAAGCGCTGATCCAGTATTCTTCTACCATTTTTTAAACCCAAAAGAATTTTGCTTTACTGTAAGAGTTTCGTTTTACTTTCAAAATTGTGGTGAACGCCTGAAAGTATGCAATAAATGTGTAAGAAGTAAATTTAAATACTGACAAGATGTGTAGAGACCCATATATTATAGGATTGAGACTTTTAAATGCTTTCTATTATATCATCTGTAAGTCTTCTATAAGAGCTTTAGTTGGTAGAAAATCATCCAAAGATGTTTTTATATACGATTGGGCTTAGATATGTACATCTATTATTAAGTGCCTTGTTTTTGATACATTCTTTGAGGGGCAATGATTCATCTCTTGTTTATTCAAAGTTTTAGGAATACCAAAATCAGTAATAACTAGACTAGATCTATATAGTAAATTGACTCCATTGACACATTTCTACGTCAATGGTTATGTTGCGACTCAAGAGCGAACTTTAGACATAGATTCGTTGTTTGTTTTATACCATCTTAGGAGATAAGTTGGTTTGTTTATTAACTAACAATCGCATTTTCTTTTGATAAAGCTTTCGTTGTGTTATTGTACCACTTGGAAGATACTATATGGTCGTTCCGAAGATAGACATTACAGCATTTATAGAATTATGTTCTTCCAAATAACTAAAGCTGCAACGCCTTTAACAGGATGTAGACGGCAACTAATACTACGATCGCTATCCTCGTCCACGAACAATATTCAAATAGAAGTGGATAATAAGACAGGTTTTGCAACAGTGAGTATGAATCGCCCACCAGTCAACTTGTTGAATTTAGAATTGATAAATTCGTTGACTCGATCGATGAAAGAGATGGAGCAGAACAAATCTCGTGGAATAATATTGACTTCGGTAGGCCTTGTATATGAAGTTTAAATGTGTGTTCGCTAATTTCAAGTAGACTTCCAATTCGGTGTTTTCAGGTGGCCTGGACATTAAGGAGTTATATAGACCTGACGTGCAACGCTTAAGAGAATTTTGGACAGCTTTTCAAGATATGTGGCTCGCTTGGTATGGAAGTGCTGTGCCAACAGCGGCTTTGATAAACGTAAATAAGTCTCAAAATCTTTTTATTTTCTATTTCTAAATAATCTTGATCATTTCAGGGTCATTCTCCAGCTGGCGGCTGTGTCCTAGCCACCTGTTGCGAATATCGAGTCATGTTACCAAAATTTACAATAGGTCTGAATGAGGCTAAATTTGGCTTAGTGCCCCCACCCGTTGTACGAATTTCATTCAAAAATGTACTACCCCTAAGAATAGCTGAATTGGCGTTGTGTCAGGGAAAACTGTTCACCAGTAATGACGCCTTGAATATTGGATTAATCGATGAATTGGCAAAAACTAAGGAGGAAGGATATGAAAAATGTGTAAAATTTTTACAAACATTTAGAAAAGTGGATCCAGTAGCTAGATCTTTAACCAAACAACAATTTCGTGGCAAAGATCTTGATGATTTGCGAAAAGGAAAGCAAAAGGATTTGAATGATTTTGTGGAACATGTTACCCAAGATGATATACAAATGAGATTGGGTTTATATTTGGAACAATTGCATAATAGAAAGAAAAAGTAATTAATGCATTTTTCGATTTTAAGAAATGAATACACTGATTATAAGGGGCTTCAACAGATTAAAAATGTTTGGAATTCTTCCAGAGGTAGAATAATTTCTAATATATTGTTAAACAAAGGATTCCTTTAACAGGTATTCTATAAATAGACTGGCAGCCATCGATAGAATAACTCTTATACGTTGAGATTGTATTGAAACCATCTGAGGGGAACTTCATATATAGAAAGCAATGAACAGGTTTCTAGAGATAAAAAACGTTAAGAGATCTTCAACACATAGGTGATAGTTTGAAGACAATTCCAAAATCTTTAGATAGGAGGCATTCTATTATATTATATAGATGAAAAAAAGTGTCGATTTTCATACGAATTTAAAATGGAATAATTCAAATTAAAACTCAAAATTGAAAGATTAAGAATTTCAAGTGGATTATGATGAAAGACACTCTCCTGGTTTTTAAATGAGATTCTTGAATTAAAATTATTACAACTTAAATTGTAATTCGATTTATCAAATTGCTATTAAATTTTACGAATTGCAACTAAAATGTTTCGAATTATATCTGATCCCTATATTGAAAAAACATTTTAGAATAGTTATATGAGTCTTCTATGGATAGAAATTTTATACTTCTTTACAAAAATAAAAACCTTTAAATCATCTATAGAAAGAAGACCATTTTGTTGATAGAAATCAGTAAACAGTATCACTTTCAATACCTCAATATATGATATCTTGTACAGGATTCCCATGGATAAATTCACGCCAAATTTATCCCAAACTCAAAGATGATTATTTTGTTAATAGAAATCCTTCAAAAGGTTTTCCAAGTGTTTTCAACACCTCTATATATGAGATATTGTAGAGGATTTCCAGATAAATTCAAAACAAATTGAAATCTATCCCAAACCCATTCAGTCTCCGGTACCGTGTATATGCATGTATTTTTCAACCGATTTTTAATTACCAAATATACAAATTTATTTTGTGTGGAAAGTAAGTGATGTTTGGTATCATAATGTCAACCCATTCCGATTTTGGACATTGATTTAGAAGGTAATTTGCTGATTGGTAGTAAAATTCTCATAGTATTCAAACTGTTTTGACATATTTATACGTCAATGTTTATGTTGCGACTCAAGAATGAACTTTGAACAACGATGCCAAATTTGTGTAACCTGTTAAGAGATAAGTTGCCGGCATATACTTCTTTTAAACAATCAATCGCACACATACACACCTTTCTTTGACACATCTTTCCACTACATCTTGGAGTTATCCGAAAGTGTATTAAAATAAGATACTACTTTTGAAGATAACAATTTTATTTATCAAGAACAAAAGTTATGAAGTCTATTTTCAAAATTATTAAAACCCCAACTTCAATACTAGGGTGTAGGCAAAAAATTCTACGATCCTTATCTACATCTCCAAACAATATACAAAAAGAAGTGGACCAAATTAAATCCAAAATAAATCTTATATTTATCTATTTTAGAATAACATTAACAATTCCAGGGCCACTCTCCAGCGGGCGGTTGTGTCCTAGCAACCTGTTGCGAATATCGTGTAATGTTACCAAATTTTACAATTGGCCTTAACGAAACACAATTTGGTCTAGTGGCTCCCCCTTTTATAAGAGCATCATTCAAAAATGTACTACCAGCTAGAAAGGCTGAATTGGCTTTGTGTCAGGGGAAAATGTTCAGCAGCAAAGAAGCTTTGGATGTCGGATTAATCGATGACATGGCAAACACCAAGGAGGAGGGACATGCAATGTCTACCAAGTTTCTACAAACATTTAGCAATGTAAATCCCGCTGCTCGATCCCCAATGAAACAACAATTTCGTGGCAAAGATCTTGATGAATTGCGAAGGAATAAGAAGAAGGATATGGAAAATTATGTAAAATTTGTTACCCAGGATCATGTACAAAAAAGAATTGGTTTATATTTGGAAAAGTTGCATAATAAAACGAAAAAGTAATACACAAATTGTTTCTTTTGGCTTCTACAAATAGAAGACATCCTAGTGGTCTTGCAAATATAGAAGAATTGCTATTGATATAGATCTGTTAATAGATACTCGATTTTAATATACATTCCCGAGATCTTTTAAAGATATTCAACATGTAGAAGTCATTCTAAAGATCTTGAACAAATTAAAGGTCATTTGATGTCCTTGAACAATTAAAATACTGTAAGTACTGTAACCGAAGGAAGAAATTCTAGAAGACCTCTTGAGATAAAACACCTTCTAAATATGTGAAAATAAAACTCCGTTTGAAATAAAAGATCTAAAGATGGAAGATATTTTACACATTCTTTATAGAAAGAATTCCTTTAACAGGTCTTCTTCAGATAGACCTTCTTATACTCTAGATGTCTCCTATAGATAAAATATCTTTATTTGTTGCCCAAAAAGAAAAGGCTGTTTATTATCGATGCATATACTATCTTTTTTCCTATAAATTGAAATCTTTTAAAGAACCCATATTACTATCTAAAAGTCTTCTGTGAATAGATATTTTTGGGAAGGTACTAGAGGAAAGTATAGAGGAAATTCTATGATGACTTTTTAGTTGTTTTGTTATGGATTTATCCGTAGAACTTCGACTATCAAAAAAGGAAAATGGGACATCTACAGATTAGAGTACGTTCTATGATATATACTTTCTTCTAAAGATCTTTTATAGTTTGAATACTTAATGGATGTTGAAAGAATACTCTATGCAGCCATTCTTAAATGATAACACAATCACAGGTTTTTAGAGAAAGGTATAAGGAACATATATCTTCCACAAAATAAAAATCTGGAAAAAGAGACACGAATACAGATATTTATAGATGAGAAATATTCTATGGATAGAAGTTCTGGACAAGATGTTCAGTGTATAGAAGATCTTCGCTCTATTGATAGAATACATATTAGAGAAGAACATTGTGCATACGATATTCTTCTGTATAGAAAACGCTTAACAGGTTTACTTTGGAAAGAAGATATTCTTCTATGAATGAATTATGAGTCTTTACAGACTACAATATCTTTAACAGAACCTCATAAAAATAAACATTTTAAAGTAAAAATACCGTCAACAGACTTCCTAAAGATTAACCTTCAACAGCTTTTTTCAGAATTGGCCATTTTCCTCTTTAATAGCCTAATTTTTATCTCTATAATTAATGAAATAAGTACTCCCTTCTGTTGTTACTTTACAGTTAAAACAATTTCTTACATTTTTTTATTAAGACTACTTGGAAATATATAAACTTTAACAAAATACACAGCCTACACAGCGAATGGCTGATCTTTACCATCATCGTGATATTTAATATATGTTTCGCCGTGTGTAAAATCTTTGGTACCCTCCAAACGTCCACGCGGTGGTGCCTTCGAGTAATCGAATGCCTTCTCCGACTTGCCAAACATACGATTAGCTTCCTCGATTTGATCACGATATTTACCAACGACCACAGATTTACCGGTAATGGGATCGGTTATGTCACCAAGGGGGTATACAACTTTTTCCACTTTGTGGGTGATGAGGCGTGTCAGACGTTCGGGCAATTCACGTATCAGAACAACATCGCCAGTCTTGCAAACCTTTTGGGGATCGTGGGCAAAAAGGAATTCATCTTTTTTGAAATACTAGAATATAAGAAAAAGGGGTTATTAGCAGAGTGCTTTTCTTGTAGCAGGTGCGACGAATTTACCATATTCAAATTCTTGTCCAATTCCATACGGCGTATGCGTATTTTGGATGCATTGGCTTTTACACAAGGCATACATTGTCCCATTAGTAATAGATTTCTAGCTGACATGATTTTTTATTGAATATTTCTGGGATTTTCCTGAGATTTTATAAAAAGAATCCAACGCAAGGCGAGTTGTTGTGTTCAATGAAACTATTCACAAATTGGAACGGGGGAATTAGTGTTACTTTTTCGTTCAGATAAGTTCACGACAAGAACAATTTGTAATTAGACTGCGTTTACATCACAGGTCGTTATGATGATATGTTAGCCAATTATTTTTGCATCCTTTGCGGTTCTCTGAGGGTATTTAAGTTTGTCATTCCGTTTGTAAGTTAGTTATCGGTATAACTGTATATAGTTAATATCAACCAAATTTGCTATAAATCGGAAGTTTATAATATATTATATTATATTATATTATATTATATTATATTATATTATATTATATTATATTATATTATATTATATTATATTATATTATATTATATTATATTATATTATATTATATTATATTATATTATATTATAATATATTATTAGAATTGGACCATTGAAAATTTGATTATCTTTATTTATTAATGAATATTCTTTTCCAAAAATGGCTCTTTCTTGAACGAAAATGAGAATGCTGCGTCTGTTGCATAGCCAATTAGATTCACAGCCAGCGAACGATCAAAAAAGTATGGTATTAATAAAATGTCTGTTTAGGAAATAAGGACAAATTGTTCAAAATCCTTTATCGAAGATGTTCTGTGTTAATATGTAGTCTCTGTTGAAGGAGTTCATCTTTGAATGGTATATAATTTCAACTCGAGAAAACAAAAGTTTCCCAGCCCGTTACTTTCTGACATGAGATTAAGGGGAAATTAAATACTAACTAACAATAATAAGTAAAAAGCAGCTAAGTTTGGCTGAACTTTTAATTCCCTCCACCACTTGTAAGGAACTTTCAATAAAAAAGTCAATTAGAAGGAAAAAGGATATGAAAAATGATGTAAAATTTGTTACCCGGATCATGTACAAAAGATAATAGGTTTATATTTGGAAAAGCTGCATAATAAAAAGCAAAGTAAAACTACAAGTTGTTTCCATTGACATCTACAAATAGTAAATACAGAATTACTAAAGACATATATATTTTAATCATGGTACAATCATGGTACAATGAATTCAAGGTAGGGCAGAACTACCATATGATTTCAATTTTTTTATTTTCTTGGCTTAATATGTCATCTTTATTTGTTTATGTATGTGTTTTCTTTTCAATAATAAAAAAATTGTTCAGAAAATATTCAAATTCGGGTGTCTTCAAAATGTTTATTTCAACGTATTCATCTACAAAATCTAGAGTTTTTGTAGCGAAATACTCCTATAGAGATATGTAGTACATGATTTTGAAAATAAGTTTTGACCTTTCATTCAGTTATCGCGTTTTTCAATTATTTATTCAAAACAAATGCAACAAGTTGTTTGATTTTTTATTGTTTTGATACTAATTCTGACATTACAAGCCAAACAGTTTGGCCTGTTTGGCTTGTAATGTCAGAATTAGTATCAAAACAATAAAAAATCAAACAACTTGTTGCATTTGTTTTGAATAAATAATTGAAAAACGCGATAACTGAATGAAAGGTCAAAACTTCTTTTCAAAATCATGTACTACATATCTCTATAGGAGTATTTCGCTACAAAAACTCTAGATTTTGTAGATGCATACGTTGAAATAAACATTTTGAAGACACCCGAATTTGAATATTTTCTGAACAATTTTTTTATTATTGAAAAGAAAACACATACATAAACAAATAAAGATGACATATTAAGCCAAGAAAATAAAAAAATTGAAATCATATGGTAGTTCTGCCCTACCTTGAATTCATTGTACCATGCTTTTAATATATAATCGATTTTAACAATCATTCTCGACATTTTTTAAAGGTAAACAACAAGTAGAAATCATTTAGAGATCTTTAATAAATTAATGGTCATTTAATGTCCTTCAACAGTCATAATACTCTTTAAAAGGCTGTAACCGAAGGAAAAAAATTCGAGAGGTAATCTATAGATGGAACAACTTCTAGAGGAAAACTTTTTAGAGATATTTTATTATTACCTTAAAAACTCCTTTTTGTAGGGTTTCAGCAGATGGATGATGTTCTAGATGTTTTCTATAGATGTAATATTTTAGTGTTTCTCCTAGAAGTCTTATTTAGAAGTTCTTTTCTATGAATTAAACTCCTTTAAAGACTCTATCATAGGCTGCAGTACCTATTACGAACTTCAAATACCAAATTTGAAACAGTTCCCGTAGAACATGTCGCTAAAATTATTGAAATATTGAATATCGGAAGGTACCGTTATATGGGGGCTATACGAAAACGTGGGCGGATTCCTGTGGAGCTGGAGGTGCAAGCACGAACAAACACATATTCTCAAATCTGTGGGAAAACAGATTATCGTTATTTATTAAAGAATATTTATTCAATTCTAAGACTGACTATGTTTTAAACGAAAATATGAATGCTGCCAATAATGTTCGATAGTCAATAATCCAATGTCTGTTTGGGAAATAAGAAAAAAATTGATCGAAGACGTACTTTTAAAATATGCAATCTCTGTTGAAGGAGTTCACTCCTTGGAGGATATATAATTTCAATAATAATATTTTTGATAATAGTAAAGTATAAGAGGAAGAGCTTCAATGAAGAGGAAGAGCTTCAGTAACCGAGGAAAAAAACAATTTGATATCATATTCACGTAAAAGGGAGTTAATTTATTAGTTCCTAAAGCAATAATTTATAATGTGATTTCCCAGTTTAGGTTGTTAGAATCCATGACGAATGTATAAAGGGAGTTAAACATTGAGTCGTTCCAATTACGGAATTATAAGTTCACTATTTAGAAAAGGGCAAGTTTTTAGTAACATTGGATAAGTAGGAAGAGGAGCATTAATTGAATTTCGAGTGAAGCTAGATTTCCACTTTCTCAACATCTTTTATAGATATAATTAGCGGTGAACTTTCGATAGAGTTTCAGTATTAGATGTGGTTGCATGAAAGTTAAGCCACAATTTTGAAGAGTTTGAAGAATATTATGTTTTTTTATAAGCTAATGAATTTTCTTATAAAATTTTAGAATGATAAAGGGATCCACGTCAAATAAGTAGGCTGAAGTCTCAATCCAACAACAAATTAGAGAATGCTGCTCCCAATCCTGAATTAAATGATTGTATCAAGTCACCCTTCTGCTATTCTCCTGTAGTATTGAGCAGTTCCCTCTTTACATCACAATGGATCATTGGACTCCGGTGGAAGTACCTGTCTTACAAAGATCGATAGCTGCAGATCTTAATTTAGAATATCATCAACCTGCCAAAAATGAAACACATTTACAATTTCTTTTATATTTGAAAATTCTCTAAATAATTTCATTAAATAAATATTTAATAATCAATTATGATTATCTATGTAATTATTATTATTATTATTATTATTATTTATTTTTAATATAATTTGTATTATTTATAATCGTTAATATTATTTTTTTTTATTCAATCTATGTTCTACAGCAGTGAAAAAAATTATGCTATTTGTTCATAATAATTGATAGTTGTTGTTCGTATAGTTTTTTTTTCTTTCACTAAAGGCTGTGTGAAAAGTGGCAAACGATAAGATAAAGCAATACAAAAAAAAAAAAAAAAAAAAAAATAGGGGAATTAAAAAAAGTAAATTGTTCGATAATTGATTGATTTGTTCATATTTACAGAATCTGGTGATTTTCTTTTGTTCCAGGCTAAACATATTTAACTAAAGTATTTTTTTTTTGTTTTTCTTAAAATTGTTCAATAAACATTAGTGTCTTCTTTTCTATAAAAAATAATAATAATAATAATTTAGTGATATTATATAAATTTTAATGTTAAATTGGATTAAATTTTATAAAATAGTAGTTGTTGTAGTTTTTTGTTCGTGTTGTTGTTCTTTTGATCCTTTAACAGCAACAGTTCTGGGGGTTAATCACAATCTCTTAGAATTCTAAAGTTGTACTGCAATATGGAGTTGGTCTCATGGGGTTTCTCTTGGCATACATTTGTCTGATGGAAAAATCAAAGAGAAAATGAATTAAATATTGTTTTATTATTTAAATTTGTAAAATTTTTATGCGTTTTCTTACCTTTTCCGGATCATTGGTGGCACGTAAAATTAAATCTTTAACAAAATAACCTCGACTTGGTACATTCATCACCAGCATCGAGGTATTGCGTCGTCTTTGCAATACATTCTGGCTTTGATGACTGATGTGATGCTGCGCCGACAGACCCGGCTGTGAGGAGTTAATTAAATGTTTGACATTTTGTTTGGAATGCTCGTGCAGATTACAGACCACCCATTGCAATGGTATGGTAGATCTGAAAAAAAGGAAAACAATAAGATTTTTTTGATGGAACCTCCGTTGAAGGGAATAATGTGAAAGCTGGATCCATCTTATATTACGGAGATTGAATCCAGACCTCACATGCCAGAGTTATTGCAATTTTTTTTTTTAAATTTGGAATACATAGAGGCGTCTTAACTTACGTTAAATGCAACTCAATGCTGTGCTCCTTGAAGAATCGTGACAGCGGTATGACAAACGTTAAATTCATCGAATTTCCAACTTTGGGACAAAATTCATTAACGGCAAATGAATTATTCAAACGTTCGGCCAAGATGCAACTGCGAATTTTCCAACAATCTGCATTGCTGGGTGGACGATTTGGTTCGACAGATAAATTTGGCTGTGCCTCATCGATTTTATCTTGGGTTTTTATTTTCGATTCAACATCAAGATTTTCATCACTGAAATTGTGCTCCAACAATGCATCCAAGTTATCAGCTTCTGATTCCGACTGTTGCTGCTGTTGTTGTTCATCGTCGTTTAGCTCCTTGGCGAGGGCCTGGGTGGCATGTGAAGTTTTACCCTGGAGTGGTGTCAACAGCGATGCATTGAGAGCATCTTTTGTTTTGTCGGGAATATCACCAAATGCGGCTTGTAAATCATCATCGGGTTCATTGATGACAGCATCATTATCATCTGTATCTCCGTGCTGATGATGGTGATCATTTTCGAAATCTTGTTGTACCAAAGTTTTGGATTTCTTCGACTCCGTTTGTTTGAGGTTGAGAGCAGGTTGTATGGGTGCCAAAAGTTGATTGTTTTCCTCGAAACAAACAGACTGTGTGGGGGTGAAGAAAATAGGTTTATTTAATTTTTTGTGTGAACTATAATATTTGAGTCCTTAACTAATTATCATTAATTAGAAGAAGGAACAAGGCTATTGCAACTAAATACAGGGTGAGAGGAAAAAACTGTAACAAACTTCAGACTGCTATCATTTCTAAGCCACTTGTCCGATAGCTGTTAACATTATTCCAGTGACATCAAACCGCGGCATCAGAATAAATGCCGAATATTATAGCGAAAAAATTCTGCAGGGTGTATTAAAGCCTTGGGGTCGCAAACATTGTGGCCTCAGAAATTGGACATTCCAACAGGACTGTCAGCCCGTGCCACCCAAAAATGTTTACGAAATGAGGTTCCTCGCTTCATTTCCAGCGCACAATGGCCACCAAAATCTCCGGATACCAATCCGTTGGACTATTGTGTCTGGAGTATTTTGGAAAGCAAGTTTGGCACTAAAAAATACCAAAGCATCGATCGCCTCAAGCAAGCGCTTCGCTGGGAAAGGGGCTAACTACCGCACAGCAACATTCGAGCAGCGTGTGACTGTTTTTTTGTCCGTTTGAAGGCCATAATTCGTGCCAAAGGTGACCAATTCGAAAAATCTAAACTTATAACATTTTTATACCCTCCACCATTCTATGGAGGGTATATTAACTTTGTCAGGGTATATTAACTTAAGTCGATTCTGCGATGTCCGTCTGTCTGTTTCTTTCGAACGAATTGAGATAGAAGGCTAAAATTTTGCACACATGTCTATTTTGTCAGTAGGCAGGTTAGGTTCGTAAATGGGCCTTGTAGGTCCATGTTTTCATATAGCCCCCATATAACGGTACCTCCCTATATTCGGTATTTTGATGATTTTAGCGTCATTATTCACCGGAATTGTTTCAAATGACGTATTTAGAGTTCGTAATGAGAGCTACAGTCTGTGACAGAAAATTGTCTATGCAGGCCCAGGTCTTCGTATAGGCCCCATATAACAGTACCTCCCTATATTCGGTATTTTGACGAGTTTAGGTACAATACCCACCGAAATTGTTTGAGATGTCGTATTTGAAGTTCGTAATGGATGCTACAGCCTATGACAGAAAATTGTCTATGCTGGTCCGGGTCTTCGCACAGCTACGATATAACGGTATCTCCCTATGTAGGTTCACGTCGTATAGATACCAATATAACGGCTATATTCGGTATTTTTAAAATCTTAACAGGATTTTTTAGGATTTTATTTCCAAATGGTGGAGGGTATTCAAAGTTCGATCCGGTCGAACTTACTGCTTTTTAACTCGTTTGTTTTCATTCAATAAAATTAAAAAAAAGTACAAATTATGGCGTTTAACTTTGTTGCAGTTTTTTTATCTCACCCTGTAGACCTATAAGGCCAATTACCGCGTTTTTTTTTTTTTCAAGGCTATTTTAATATCAAAAATTCTTTCTCCCTCAACTCACCTGACAATTGGATATATCCTCTCGTTTCACTTTATTGTTACATTGTTCGGGTTCTCCAAATGTCTCGACATACGACGTTTCACTGTGTACCCAAACGTTTTGTATGGGATTCGTTAGGGTTTGTTGATTTTGTCCGGTAGAACGACGACCCAGCAGAGATTGGCGATTTTCCAAACCCAAATCGTAGTCTACCGGATCACCAGGATTGAAAATTGATTCATTGTTATTACTTGTCAAACTTTGTAAATCATTGTCGGAATTATCGGGATTACGTTCAACATAGTTGCGACTCTTATTCGAAATGGGTTGAGTCTCAAGGGAATAATTGGTATGCGGAGCATCGGTGTTGACCTTGTTCGAATGGGTGTGCGATTGTACGGCACTAGTTGTCGTCGTGGTGGATGTTGGTGGTGGTACCGTTTTGTAAATGATCAAATCCCCACCACGGGCATTGGTGTGACGCAGAAGATTTGATTGGGTTGGGGCAGAAATGTGAGGGCCCTCGTTCACGCTTCTATCGGTAGAGGCAACGGCGCCCACTGTATTATCTACATGAAGTTTTTCTATTTCTCCACGACCCTCTGCATTTGTGGCCGAGGATGTTCTCTTTTTACTGCTATTTGCCGATGATTTGTGACGATTCGGTGCCTGCTGGGAATCGATATCAATGGAGTTGTTCTCAAAGTCCTGTTGCACGAAGTTGACATTGGTTATCTTTTCGGTGGAGCTATCGCTGGCATTGTGTGCACCACCATTGGAGGTTTCATCATTTGTGGGTACACCATTAGGACTTTTAGCCGCAGGTAAGGCATTGCGGTGCGTTGCCGCCTGCATTACCCGCAACACCATTTGCGGCTGAGGCCATTTATGTTTGTGTTTGCTTATGACCGTTTTATTGGTCCTCGGCACGGGGGCAGATGTACTTCGCGATTGTTCCTGATGTGTGGTTTGTAGCAGTTCTTGGCCCACCGAAGGTTTTTCCATGACCACGGTGATTTCATCCGTTTGCGTTGTGCCGCCAGCTTGGGAAGAGGATGATGGTGGCAGCAGCATATCTTCATAGATCAGTTCACTTTCACCTGCCGTTTCCACTGCTTCTCCTCTTGCGCTACCTATTCCCCGATATGGCATTGTACCATTTTGGCTAAGAGATCTGGAATATCCTCCCACCGTCGATAAATTGGGTAATGCAGGCCACAGACTGTGAGTTCGATTGTATTTCAGACTATGCTGGCGTATGAAATCGTGTTCCTGTTCCGTCAGCGATACCCCAGCATGGCCATAGAAGTGACCATTGCTCAGCAATTGTATTCTATCTAGTTCGCTTAAATTGTGCTGTTTCTTATTGTGTTCTACGAAATATAAGGTGGATACAGCGGCCAAACTGAAAGAGAGAGAGAGAGAGAGGGAGAGATACTTAGTAAGATTTCGATATTGTTATTCCGATTCTTTACTTACCACGCCGCCATGACTATAACTAAAAGAAATATGATAATTTGTAGGGTTCGATTCGAACAGATTTCATAGCCATCCCTGGAGCTACGTCCAGGGGAGCCGGCACCCAGGGTCTTGCAATGCATAAACTGCAATTCATTTTCCTTGGCCCGTTGCAGACGATGATTGACCCTTTCCAAATTCTCAATACGTGTCTCCAGGGTTCCCGTAACCTTACACAACTCCTTGACGGCTCCAATATTCTCCATCAGGATACGATCCTTGTTGACCAAAAGGAAATTCTCAATGACATTACCATTTGGCAGTACAACACTGCCAGCCTCTTGTACAGCATCTGGTATAACTTCACGCACCTCCTGTGCAATCACACCCGTATCGACAATGTCCTCCTCATCTTTGTGCGTCTTGAGTCCCGAATGTAAAGCGAATTGTGGCTCCAAGCGATAGCGTACGATGCGGATCTTTTGTAAATTTCTCAATTGCACCGAAGTATCCAATTCGCCGATTTCTTGTTTCGCCCGACTATCGCTAGGCTGTACAATGTGACCGGATATCTTGAGATTGCCATGTACCACAAGGCTTTCATCCGGCCGATCGGTATTTATGCCAACACGACCCGCATGAAATATGGAATCTTGTGTAAGGCCACGTTGCCAACAGAGATCGACATCAGATTCAAACTGTCCAGGATTTGAGGCGCGCACAATAATTTTATCACTTCCCTGGGCAATGACTGGGAAATCACCCGATGCCGTGTGTACATGTAGGCCGACGACAAGTTGGAAGTAACGTTGCTCGGGGTTCGGGCGTCCCTTTTTGCGCATATTATTGTTGGTCGTCTCCGAGAAGTGTAGCCGTCCCACCGTCACTTTGCTAACAATGTGGCTCTGGAGATCGATGCTGAAACGAAAAGGTGAGGGGAATTAGAAAAAAAAAAAGTTTAGAGGAAGAGAAGACTTTGTCATGGACACGCAGGAGGAAAAGCTAAGCCACCCAGCCTTCGGGCAAATATATTGGTTAAGTACTAACGGAATATCCAATGGACAGTAAATTCCGCAACTGTTCTATTACTACCAATAAATTTACACTGAAAAACTTCCTTGCAAAACTTCGTTATTTGGATTGTCAACTCCTTTGAAAATTCTTCAACTTTGGAGACAGCATCAAAAAGCCTATCCGTCCATTTTTTTGTTCTTCAAAATATTTTTTATACTTACGGCACTGGATAGAACGGCTTCTTCGAACGATCCGATTGACTCTGCTCGATGCGTATTGTCTGGTTGGGTGTCTCCAGCTTAACACCGTAGAAATGTAAATGAAACGATTTGATTTTCTCCAACCCCGAGGGGGTCTTAACAAATTTCGCCTCACTTTGTAGGCGAGCATGGCAAGTTATTTGGAAGTGATTCTTTTTCTGACACACAAAAGCGTCATCGGATACGGAGAAATTGAAACCCTTATCGGCATCGACACGATAATAGACAACTGAGATCTCTTGTAGATTTTGATCGCACAGCTCATGCCAGTTTTGTGGTTGGAATGGTGTGAAACGTATGCACGGACTGAGGGCATCACTGGCACCGGAACCTTCCGCTGATTTGTCCATATTGACACTGGACAGAGCCGGCGATAGGGAGGCTGTCGAGTGGGCTGGTGTATCGGCTATGTCATGGGTGCTATTCAGTTGTATGTTAAGTGGCGAGGTGGCGCTACGTTTCGGTACTTCTCCCGGCAGTGGTGTGGCACACACAGAACTACGTGAGGGACTTAGGATGAGACCTGGATCGGGTTTAACACAGGGGAACTCGACGCCGTCTATTTGGGTATTCATTTTACGTTTACGTGACGAGGATTGATGGTTGGGTGTGGAGGGAGCACTTGATCTGCTCAGTTGCGGCGTGGAGGGTATGCTACCGGTGACAGTGCCAACCACCTGGACATGAGGCAAATCACCGATGGCGGTTAGCATGCCGGTGGCCAGATCATGGGGATCCACCATTTGTGACAGACTTAACTGATAGGAGGGTGGCGGTGGTGGTGGGGGATTAGGAAGGCCATGATTCAGACTGTCATACATCATGTGATTAGTCGTTATGGCGGTGTTGTTGTTGTTGCTGTTGTTAGGACTAATTGTGTGGGTGGTGTTACTATTGGCATGCGAGTAAAGAAGTTGCGTGGCTGCCACCCCTTGGGCGCCATTCATCTCAATGTGAGTGTCTGACTGTTGGTGATGATGCTGTTGTTGCTGCTGGTGGTGATGTAAATTTTGACTGTTAAGTGTTTGCTGTAAACTATTCGGATTTATAATTATCCCCGCCTCATGTTTCACCCTCACCTCCCCCATTGGAGAGTCCTGCGTCGAACCCATTGTCGTCAGTCCATTTAAATTCATTTGATGATGATCCATTATGTGAACATAATGCTGATGATGATTTGTGCTGTCATGTGTTGGGTTTTGAGACTGAAGATGATGTGGTTGTTGTTGTTGCTGCTGGTGATGGACACCACCTGCCATTGATGTTGCTGTTGTTCCATTACTGTTTGAATTGAAAATATCTCTGGTATTCATATTTCCGCTTAATCCCGATACATCTTGTAAAGGACTATAGGGTGGCTCTGATCCCGAATCGGGAGGACTTTCAGGCAATTGTGTGAGACTGATATTGCGGCTATTATTCGAGCTGGAACTACCATGTATGCCAATATGTGGTGTGGAGGTTAGGCCTACACGTGCCGAAACCGTTGGTATAGGTGGTAGAATTAAATCGGAGTTTATTGAGGCCAACGATGTGGGCGATGTAACGGGTGTTTCAGTTTTGGCACTACACAAGAGATTGGTTGCATTGGCCACACCACCACCACTACCACATCCATTCGGGCTAATATGGTTGGTATTGTTTGCATTTTGCCGGTGGCTCACATCTCCACTGCCACCAATGCGTCCAATGGCATTCGATGGTACATGTAAATCTTCAAAGAATATGGCTTCATTGTCAATACCGCCCACATAATCCACTCGATCTGAAAGAAATTGAGGAGAGGAGATATAAAATGTTAATGCGATTTTATGAGGAGATAAAAAATTATATATAAATAATAATTTTGGGATAAAGGGAGGAAAAATAAAAATTTTTTGAATCCTTGAAAAAATAAAAAGAACTTCGAAATTTCTTGAAAAAAATATTTTTGAAAAAAAAACCTTGAAGAAATCCAAATTAGCTTGGATAGTCCTTCGAAGTCCAGAATCTTATAGGAATCCAAGAAGGACAGACTGGGGCAAATTCGAATCCCTTACGTCAGAGTTGAAACAGAAAATCAATAAATGGTGTCGACAGAGCATTGAATGTTGCCACAAGTGTCCTTCGTTCAAGCTATGCGAAATCTTGTCCAATCACCTACCCAGAGAGAAAATCCCAGCCGGTTTGGTGGACTAAGAACTTTGCTATTATTTTTCCATGTGGTTTAACAAGAAATCTTACCCGAGCCCAAGAAATCTTATTGGAAACTAAGAAGCTCAGACAGGGGGCAAATTCAAATCCCTTACGTCAGAGTTGGAACAGGATCCTTGAGGACTAAAATCAATCAATGGTGTCGAGAGAGCAGTGGATGTTGCCACAAGTGTCCTTCGATCAATCTTTGGGAATTCTCGCCCAATCCCTACCCTGGCAGGAAATCCCAGCCGGCTTAGTGGACTAAGGACCTTGCTATTCATTTTCCAGGTGACCAAATGCGATGTCAGACAGAAATATTATTGGAACTCAAAAAGCATAGACTGGGGGAAAATTCAAATCCATTACGTCAGAGTTGAAACAGGATCCCCGAGGTCTGAAATAAGCCAATGATGTCGAGAAAGCAACGAATGTTGTCACCAATGCCCGTCGTTCAAGCTATGAGAAATGTTTTCCAATCACCTAACCTCGGAGGAAATCACAGCCGGTTAGGTTAATTAAGGCCCTTGATATTCTTTGGATGACAGACTTCAATAAATAAAAAAGAGAGTTAAAAAAGGCTAAATGTAGATCTTCGATAAGCCTTTGTGTCTATATAGGGGATAGATAATTCTGCCAGATTTCGTAAAATACTGTCTAAGGATCCCAAACCTATAGACCGTATAAAGCGAGATTATGGTATATGGACTAACTCAGGAGAATCTCGACCTGCAACTACCTCCCTGGTTGCAAGGACACAAAGAGCCTCCCTACTTTGCACTATGACAGATGAGAGACTTATAGGAAGTCAAGTCTCCTGATCCTGATGCCATTTTACCAGCAATGTTGCAAAATACTTCTGTGTCGGTGTTGGCTATATTGGAGGAGATTTCTAAAGCTTGTTTTCGTTGTTTTTCGTGGAATAAAAGTAACGGAGAGGAATATTCCCAGAGCCGGGAAATCTAGTCATATATTATCCAAAGACTGCAGATCGATTAGACTCTCTTCTATTCTAATGAAGTCCTTAGAAAAGTTACTAGATCTGAAAATTCGAAGTTGTTAGATATATTGAAAAAAATATGGAAGAAAATGCCAAATTTACTTTGGCTGAATTGGTCCTTGAAAAAATGTTTTTAAAAAATCACGTTTATGGCCGGTCCTTGAAAAAATATTGTTAAAAATCCAGGATTATGGCTGGTCCTTTATTTTTTTTTAAATCCAGAAAAATGGTTGGTCCTTAAAAAAATATTTTTCAAAATCCAGAATTATGGCTGGAGCTTATTTTTTAGTCCAAAGACTGCAGATCGATTAGACTCTCTTCTATTCTAATGAAGTCCTTAGAAAAGTTACTAGATCTGAAAATTCGAAGTTGTTAGATATATTGAAAAAAATATGGAAAAAAATGCCAAATTTACTTTGGCTGTACTGGTCCTTGAAAAAATGTTTTTAAAAAATCACGTTTATGGCCGGTCCTTGAAAAAATATTGTTAAAAATCCAGGATTATGGCTGGTCCTTTATTTTTTTTTTAAATCCAGAAAAATGGTTGGTCCTTAAAAAAATATTTTTCAAAATCCAGAATTATGGCTGGAGCTTATTTTTTAATCCAAGTTATGACTGGCCTTGAAAAAATATTTTTAAAAATCTTCGATTATGAATGGTCTTTGAAAATATATTTTTTTCAAAATCCACGATCGTGGCTGGTCATTGAAAACATTTTTAAAAATCCACGATCGTGGCTGGTCCTTGAAAACATTTTTTTCAAAGTCCACGATCGTGGCTGATCCTTGAAAACATTTTTTAAAAATCCACGATTGTGACTGATCCTTAAAAATATATTTTTTAAAATCCACTATTGTGGCTCAGCTTGTCCTTAATTTTTTTTAAACCCACAATTGTGGCTGGTTCTTAAGAAAATTTTAAAAATCCACGATTGTGGCTCAGCTGGTCATTAAATTTTTTTTTAAAAACTTAGGATTGTGGCTGGTTCTTAAAAAATGTAAAAAAAATATTTTTTAAAAAGCATTGATCTTTAAAAAATGTTTTTTTTTATTTAAAATTCACGATTATGGCTTGAAAAAATATTTTTTTTAAAATCATTGATCCTTAAAAAAATATTTTTTAAAAATAACTGATCCTTAAAAAAATATTATTTTAAAAATCCATGATTATGGTTCCTTAAAAAAATATTTTTTAAAAATCACTGATCCATAATAAAATTTTTTTTAAAAATAACTGACCCTTAAAAAATATTTTTTAAAATCCACGATAATGGCTCAGCTGGTCCTTGAAAAAATATTTTTTTAAATATCACTGGTCCTTGAAAAAATTTTTTTTAAAAACCACGGATCCTTAAAAAAATATTCTTTAAAAATCCACGATTATGGTTTGTCCTTAAAAAATATTTTTAAAAATCCACGATTATGGTGTGTCCTTAAAAAATATTTTTAAAAATCCACGATTATGGTGTGTCCTTAAAAAATATTTTTAAAAATCCACGATTATGGATTAACTGATCTTTGAAAAAATATTTTTAAAAATCCACGATTATGGTTTGTCCTTAAAAAATATTTTTAAAAATCCACGATTATGGTTTGTCCTCAAAAAAAAAAATATTTTTAAAAATCCACGATTATGGTTTGTCTTTAAAAAAATATTTTTAAGAATCCACGATTATGGCTCAACTGGTCTTTGAAAAATATTTTTAAAAATCCACGATTATGGCTCAACTGGTCTTTGAAAAATATTTTTAAAAAAATAACGATTATGGTTTGTCCTTAAAAAAATATTTTTAAAAATCCACGATTATGGCTCAACTGGTCTTTGAAAAATATTTTTAAAAAAATAACGATTATGGTTTGTCCTTAAAAAAATATTTTTAAAAAATTCACGATTATGGTTTGTCCTTAAAAAAATATTTTTAAAAATCCACGATTATGGTTTGTCCTTAAAAATATTTTTAAAAAATCCACGATTATGGCTCAACTGGTCCTTGAAAAAATATTTTTAAAAATCCATGACTATGGCTGATCCTTAAAAAATATTTTTAAAAATCCCGATTTTGGCTGACCCTAAAAACAATATTTTTAAAAACTCACGATGATCCTTAAAAAATATTTTTAAAAATCCCGATTTTGGCTGACCCTAAAAACAATATTCTTAAAAACTCACGATGATCCTTAAAAAATATTTTTAAAAATCCACGATTATGGCTCAATTGGTCCTTGAAAAATATTTTTTAAAAAATCACTGATCATTAAAAAAATATTCTTTAAAAATCCACGATTATGGCTCAATCGGTCCTTCAAAAATATTTTTTAAAAAATCACTGATCATTAAAAAAATATTCTTTAAAAATCCACGATTATGGCTCAACTGGTCTTTGAAAAAATATTTTTAAAAATCCACGATTATGGCTCAACTGGTCCTTGAAAAAATATTTTTAAAAACCCACTATTATGGTTTGTCATTAAAAAATATTTTTAAAAATCCACGATTACGATATGTCCCTAAAAAAATATTTTTAAAAATCCACGATTACGATATGTCCCTAAAAAAATATTTTTAAAAATCCACGATTACGATATGTCCCTAAAAAAATATTTTTAAAAATCCACGATTACGATATGTCCCTAAAAAAATATTTTTAAAAATCCACGATTACGATATGTCCCTAAAAAAATATTTTTAAAAATCCACGATTACGATATGTCCCTAAAAAAAATATTTTTAAAAATCCACGATTACGATATGTCCCTAAAAAAATATTTTTAAAAATCCACGATTACGATATGTCCCTAAAAAATATTTTTAAAAATCCACGATTACGATATGTCCCTAAAAAAATATTTTTAAAAATCCACGATTATGGTTTGTCCTTAAAAAAATATTTTTAAAAATCCACAATTACGATATGTCCCTAAAAAATATTTTTAAAAATCCACGATTACGATATGTCCCTAAAAAAATATTTTTAAAAATCCACGATTATGGTTTGTCCTTAAAAAAATATTTTTAAAAATCCACGATTATGGTTTGTCCTTAAAAAAATATTTTTAAAAATCCACGTTTATGGTTTGTCCATAAAAAAATATTTTTAAAAATCCACGTTTATGGTTTGTCCTTAAAAAAATATTTTTAAAAATCCACGTTTATAGTTTGTCCTTAAAAAATATTTTTAAAATCCACTATTATGACTCAACTGTTCCTTGAAAAAATATTTTTAAAAATCCACGATTATGGCTGATCTTTAAAAAAAATATTTTTACAAATCCACGTATACGGCTGGTCTTTGAAAAAGATTTTTAAAAATTCACGGATATGGTTGATCCTTAAAAAATATTTTTAAAAATCCACGATTATGGCTTAGTTCTGATAGTCCTTAAAAAATTATTTATAACTCGATGATTCTTAAAAAAATCCAAAAATCTTTTCACATACTTTTCGTTTCAATCTCTTTTACATGTTCCACTTTCAGGTAATGCCATGCCAAACGAATAACACTTCGAATTGTAAATGATTGAAATAAACAACCGCAATTCATAATGTATTGATTATTTATTTTTATTGAATTTAGAGCACTGGAACACTAAAAA